CGGGGCTCCTTCCAGCCTTGAGCAGTGCCGTGAAGCCGCTCTGGTGGCCCCTCCAGTGGCTCCTGCCCCCTGAGAGCAGCCCCCCACGCCCGGGCTCCCCGGCAGCAGGAGGCGGGGCTCGTTCTGCAGGCAGGTCCCCGAGGGCAGCAGGCGGCCTCTCTTCCAGAACACTCCCCAGAACCAGGCGCGGAGCAGGCTCAGACCGAGCTCGCTGGGTGTTTCGTTGGCCAAGGGCCTAGAATCCGACTGGCAGGGAAGGAGCCGACAGATGGGCCCTGGATGAGGAGACTGACTCACTCGACTCCGGGAGAGAAGAAAACCTCATCCGTCCAGTTTCTAGGGCTGCGCTTCACACGCGCCTTCTCGGCCGGCCAGCTGGGGCTGCCCCGCTCCCCCCGGCTCTGCGGGGCGGCCCTGCCCTCCGTGTCTCCACGGGTGCCAGCTGCCCCCTGGTCCTGAGAGCCACCACGGCCTGGGCCCCGGCTCCTGTCTGCCCAGCGGCAGCCCCCGTCGGGCCCACGGCTTTCTGTGGCACCCACCCTGGCCCAGCCTTGCCCAGCGCCCCAAGTTCTGTCTGAGATTGGGGAGTTCACAGCTCCCCGCCTCCCCGGGCTCGGAGGTCTCCTGTGAGTTGATCGAGTGAAAGTTGGCGAGCCCGAGGGCGGGCTCCAGTCCGCGATGCCCTTGCAGAGGGAGGCTCGGACACAGGCCTGGGGGGGGCCCAGGGTGAGGACACAGGGCGAGGTCGGTCACCTACAGGCCAAGCCGGGGCCTGGCGCCCACCCTCCCTCACGGCCTCCAAAGCATCCTGCTCTGCCCGCCCCTCGCTCCCCAACTTCTGGCCTCCAGAACTGGGAGACACTTGGGGTCTGTTGTTCAGGCCCAGTTTGGGGTCCTTTGGTCCAGCAGTAGAGCCACGCATGACCCTTCCCAAGGGGCCGCCATCCCAGGCACCCACCTCCCCGTGTTCAGGGTGGCCTGAACATGGACATGAGCCTCTGCCCGGCCCAGCGGTGCCCACCAGGCCTGCAGGCCTCCCTGTGCCCCCGCCCGTGGCACCCACTGCCATCCAGCCCCCTGGAACCTGGAAGCCGCAGCCCCTCCTCCCCCAAGTCCCTCCCCCGTCATCCTCTGGCGGATCCATGCAGGTCAGCGCACCAGAGGCCAAGCAGAGGGGTCGCTGCTAACTGTATGCTAATGACAGCGGGGACCATCCATCTCCCCCCTAATCAGGCAATCAATGCTCGCTGCAGGTGTGTCCGATCCAGGCCCTCGCGGGGGAGGCGGCCCCCTCCCCACCGGGCCAGGCGCGGCTCGCCCCAGCCCCCGGGCCCCTGGGAGAGCTGGCTGCAAATTGAACTCGCTGCTTGGGAAAGAACTGAGGGGAGAGAAGGGAAGGAGAACGCGGCTCTTTAATCAACGCTCAGAGCCGCAGCCGCTAATGAATTCAAGGTTCTCGGGAACCCCAGGGCAAGACTGGCGGATAGAAGCCAAGATTTCCTCCCTGCCTGCCTGCCTGCCCGGATCAGAGGCTCCCCCCAGCGTGGGGGGCATGCTGTGTGTGTGGGGGGGGTTTAAACCTCCTGAGGGGCTCAAGGTCTGCGGTCCAACTTGGACCCGAGGTCCCGGCTGGGGTGGGGGCAGCGTTTCCGCCCCCGACCAGCTCCCCTCAGCCTCGCTTCAGGAGGAGCTTTTCTTAAAAGAGCTGCAAGCAGGCCCTTCCCGGCCTTTCTCTGGACACCCGCCTCGCCCCGACTCGCAGGCCTCCTGTGCCCCCCACCCGGCCCGAGGTGCGGTGGTTACGCCTATTTTACAAATGAGAAAACAGGTCAGTGAGGATAGAGAACCTGCCAACGTGTCAGCCAAGTCGGGCGGGCAGGTGGTACACAGCCTCCCGGCCCCCAAATCCTCTTCCCAGGCCCCCAGCAGCCCCTCCCCAGGGGCACCCCCTCCCTCGCCATGGTCGGGGCACACCGTGCCCAGGTTCCTCACCCCCGGCACAGGCTGCAGCTCCTGGTCAGCTGGGCTGCGGCGGGGGGACTCAGGCTGTGTTTGCTGGAAGGCGCGCGCCCCTGAGCAAGTCGCTGGCTGTCCGCGGGCTCAGCAGGCCCCCACACTCTCCACAGAGGAGTCTCCCAGAGAGGCTAGTCACGTGCCCAAGGTCGCCCCGCAAACCGACACCGCGTGTCCGTGCACGGACATGTCCCGGCACGCAGGGCCCGCGACCCCTCCTCTCGCCTGCCCCCCGGGAGCCACCGGGTCCCGGAGCAGAATGAGGAGCTGGTCTGGGAGGGCACGGGGCGAGCACGCCTGCTAAGGGATTCATGGCCGGGGAAGCCGGTTCCCAGAGCTGCTCCCTTCACAGGGCTGCCCTGGGGAGCTCCCCGCAGGGAAACGGGGCAGCCCCGAGGTGCAAGGCCACGTGTGGGGGAAGCGGGCCCATTGGCCTCTCCAGCACACCTGGCTCGCCTGCCGTGACCCACCGTCCCGCGGGGCACGCCCCGCCCCCCCCCCCACGCCGGCTCCAGCACGCCTGGAGCACCTGGAGTGGGGCTGAGCTCAGCCTTTTCTCCTGAGTTCAGGAGGAAGGGCACCCAAGGGAGCTGAAGTCAGAGGGTGGGGGAAGACGACCGCGCTTGACACCGGGCCTGGAGGACTCACGGTGCACCCTGGGCCCGCGTGTCCACGACAACAGCCCACGGCCACATGTGACCGCCGCGGGACGTGCCTGGGACGGCCGGTGAGGATGAGGCACAGAGAGCGGGGCCCAGCCAGCAGCCAGCCGACCCCGACCCGGAGTGAGCCAGCGCCGCCTGCCAAGCTGCTGCCCCGGAGGCAGGAAGGCCGCGCTGCTGCGGGCCTCTGAGGTAGGGCCCGTGGCGCGGCGTATTGCAGCGATGGGGCAGCGATGCGCCCTGTGCTCCCGCCCGGAAGATGGGAAAGCTGAGACTAAGAGGCCTTGAATATTCTGCTCAAGGTCTGGCCGCTGGTGAACGGCAGGGCTGAGCGCCGGCCGCTGGGGCGCGAGAGCCCAGGCTCTTGTCTAAATATTTGACACCTGCCCGCACCCCCCAGCAATGACGGCGTCGGCCAGTATTTGCTGAGTGAGGACAGAAGCCTGCCTTGGAGTGGCAGCGACTCCGAGGCCCTTGCTCTTGGAGGCCACTGACTGCGACAGCAGGAAGGGGAGAAAGCCACCAGGGAGCCATCCAGGCCCCACCAGCAGGAGCCTGAAGGCGCAGTCGCCAGGGACGCGCCGCTCGGCCATGAATTTTTTCTCCAGCAGGCCCAGGAGACAGGCCCAGGCCGCATCAAAGAGGAAGGAAGGTGCTTTAAAAAGCGCTGGGCTTCTTGGGCCTCCCCTGGTGGCGCAGGCAGTTGAGCACCGCACCATGAAGCTGCTCGCAGCCTCTGCAGCGCCGGTTCAATCCTGGTCAGCCTGCAAGAATCCCACATGGTGCGCAGACCTCTCCTGCCGCGCCCGCTGCTCCCCTCAGCAGTGCATTTTGTCAGTCTGCCTGTTGTGTTCCCTGCTCTGTCCCTGGTGAAACCTCACACCCTCCCACGCATCTGGCCTGTTCCCTGGTTCTTGTATAAAATAAAAATAAATAAATCTTTTTTAAGATTTTTTTTTTTTAAGATTTATGTATTTATTTATACAAGCACTGGGTACAGTCAGAAGCGCGGGAGGGTGAGAGAATTCACCAGAGCCAGAGTGGGGAACAGAACAGGCAGACTGACGAAGGACACTGGCTGAGGGGAGCAGCGGGCGGCAGGAGAGGTCTGCGCGCCATGTGGGACCCTCGCCCTGTGGCCGGGGATCGAACCGGCGCCACAGAGGCTGCGGGCAGCTTCACAGCCCAGCGCTCAACCGCTGCGCCACCTGGGGAGGCCCTAAATAAATCTTTAAAAAAAAAAAAAAAGCGCTGGGCATCTTGACATGGTGACCGCCCTTCGGGAAAGATGTAGGGGAGAGGGTGCAGGTGCCGCTCGGGGGCAGGAAGCTGATGCTGGCACAGGGCAAGATGAGACCCGCTGAGGCCAAGGAGCTGCCCAGGGGACACTGGGGGGCCGTGGAGGGAGCCAGGCCCCTTCACCAGAATCCTGCTTACCCCATTCACCCCAATCTTGTCACTCCAAGAGCTCCCCAGGGAGGCCCCATTCTGCTCAGCGCCAGCCCCAAGAGCAAGGGAAGCAAGAATCTTTACTCATCGGCTGGAGTTTTACTCACACATGCACCCAGGGGAGCATTAATTTTCACTTCTCTTATGTTCCCCGTGGTGCACCCTTGCTCCAGCAACCTTAGGATTTCCCTGTCGGCCTTGGTGTGTCTGTTACAGAGAGAGATGCAGGCGTGCAAGGACGTGAGTGTGCTCCCATCGCCACACGCATGGGCCGGCTGGGTGCCCGGGGGTCTGCTGCTCTCCCACAGCCTGACCCCGCCAAGCAGCCTCCAGGTAAGGGGTCCCTGGAAAGTCCAGAGCCCCAGCCTCAAATGTGCCCTGTCTCTTCAGGAGTCTGCACAATATGCAGACACTCCAGGGTCTCTGTGAAAGCAGAGAAGCTGGTGCCACCTATTGGCTCGGTCCCCAGGAGAGACATGGGCTGGGCTGCTGAGTCTGTTCTTATCTTGGGGGACGACCCTGCCAGGTGCGTTGTGCTTGTGGCCGCCTGGCCTGGGGCCCGTCCTAATGCGCGGGGCCTGGCATGCAGTGGGGGCTCAAGCATGTTGGTCGAAATCAGTGAGATTGGTGTCAGAAACGACAAGATTAGTGCAATTTGCTCCTTCCTAGTAAAGACAAACAAAACCCTTATTCTTTCTGCTTCCTCTAACACCGCTTCTGTGGAGGTGACCGCTTTGCCTTAAGTGGACAGCGGAGCTGAGCTGGTTTCAGTGTCTCAGTGACAGTCATTGCTATGAATCAGACTGACGGCCGCCCGAGCCGGACCTGGGGTCAGGGAGACCTGCGCTTGAACCCTTGCTTGCGTGTGTATGGCTGCAGGCAGGCTGCCCGGTCCCGCTGAGCCTCCAGCTAGCATGGTGACAATAATAGGACCTGCTTCAAAGGGTTATTGTGAGTTTTCAGTGAGATAAAGCACGAAAAGGTCAGCACAGCCCCACAGCATTAGTGCCCATTCGTGGAGTTGCTGCTGCTGCTGCTGCTGCTGGCGTTCATGCACCATCCGGACCCGGTGCTACAGGATGGAGGTGAGAACCGGGTCCCCGGGAGCCCACAGACCAGAGGAAGGAGTCACGAGCCTGGAGACGCGGACCGGTCTGGCCTTCACCATGAAGCTGGCGTGGGAGGCAGGGGGTGGGGGAGGCGCAGTCAGAAGTCCCCAGGAGCCTGGCAGTGGTTGTGTCTGGCCAGCGGCCTCTCCCGAGTGTCATCTCACGCTCAGCCCCCAACTGTCACTTCTTTTCTCGGGTCAGAATTCCTGGAACAAAGTGGCCAAGCTTCCCCCTGGCCCAGGTGTGAGACCCAGCGGGCCCCGGACAGCCCTGGCGGTTCAGCCATGGAGAGTCCTGGGGCTGCCGGGACCAGGGAGCTACAAACATCAGTTTCCTGCGCCCCCAACGCCCTGTCCACTGAGAGCTGGTTGCCACCGCCAGGCCCCCGCTGCTGCCCCTCTGCCTTTCTGTTCTTGTTCCCTCCGATTTCTCCAAGCCTGGGCTCCGTCTTCCCGGCAGTCAGCCCACACGCCCGCCTCTTGGTTCCGCGGAGACGTCCTGCGGGTCCTCCTGTCGGTGCCGGCCCGGGCTGGCGGGCCAGGCTCCTCTGCCAGCGGGACTGGCCACGAGGGCCTCTTGTGCATGTTCCTCGAGGTCTCTGGGCACCCCTGGGTGCCATGGCAGAGGAGCAATGCCAGAGAAGTGGGCGCCGGGCATTGGCAAGGGCCACGCTCACCCCAGGGCCTGGAGTTACTACCTGACGCCTTTCCAGACCCGCCCTGACACAAGGACGGGCACGTGGCCGGGACGCCCCCCCCCGCCCGTGAGCTGGACAAGTGGGCCCGAGAGACGAGGCCGCGTCCCACGCCCACCAGTGGCCGAGCGGGTCCGGCCCAATTCTGCCTCCTTCCGAGGCCTCTGCCCCGCCCTCTCCAGAGGAGCCGCCTCAGAGACGCAGAGCAGGTTAAACCGCCATTTTCACAGACCAACAAGTGACTGAACCCCCCGACACGCGGCTCAGCTTCCCGTCTCCGGGGAGACACCCCGTGCTGCCAGGCGCCCGCTGCCTGCCCCAGGTTCAGGCCCTCGGGCCAGCGGCGACCCCCACGCCCACCCCCCACGGGTGGGTGCAGGGGCCCGAGCTTCCCCTCCAGGGCATCGTCTGCCCAGAGGGGACCCCGCTGAAGCGGCCGTGACCCCGCGGCGCCGGCGAGCACGGGCCACGAGGGGAGAAGCAGCCCCGCAGCAGGCCTCGGGCGGCGGCGTCATCACAGCGTTTCTGGGGTCAGCCACGAAGCTCGAAGCTCGGTGCCGTCGCCGGGGCTGGCCGGGGGCTGGAGCTCAGCCGTCAGCGCCGGGGAGAAGCCCGGAACGCCAGGGCCGGGACGAGGCCTTGCGGCCGACGAGGGAGGCAGAAGGCGGAAGGCGGGCGGGGCGGCCGTCAGCAGGGCTGCCTCTGCCGCTGGCAACGGGGGCTGCCGGGGCCGCGTCTGCTCACCCGTTGCCGCGCTCACGCAGCCTCCGCTCCGCGGCGTTTCCAGGGGCCCTGCCCGAGCCGGAGCCCGTGCTGGGTGCGGACACCGGTCCGGGGGCTGGACAGGAGCGGCCCTGCCTCGCGGGCCGGACTGCAGGGACATGGCAAATCCAGCTCAGGGAGGCTGCCCGCTCCGAGCCCTCGCCCGCTGCCCGGGTGCGGCCCTTACCCGTGGCGTCCTCGCCGTGGCCGGGCACCGAGCTCGGCGGCTGTGCAGGGCCAGGAAGGAGGCCGGAGAGCGCGAGGACTCTCCCAAGGTCCCCGAGTCAGCAAATGCAGCCCAGGCCTGTGGGCATCCCGCACCCCCCAGCCACTCCGGAGTCCAGACGATTCTCTTGCGGACGCAACACTCCATCAGAGACGCGAGGGGCGAGGAGGGTCAGCGGCAGCCGGGACGCAGGTGCAAGGGCCCTGGGCCCGGCCGGGGGACCTGCAGGCAGCCCCCTGGGCTGGCCCTGGGAGGGGGAGGTGAGAGGGCAGAGGCACCTGGCGAGGACCCCTGCGGAGTCGGGGCTTCCTGCCGGGAGCCGGGCGGGTCCCCCGGGCTGAGTCTCACTGGTCTCTGCGGTTCGCCCTCGCCAGGTGTGATACTGGCCATGGGCTTTGTCGTGTGTGCGCGTGTGCGTGCATGCGTGTGCACGTGTGTGTGCCTGGAAGGCGGGCCCCCCCTGCCGGCTGCAGCCTTGCTCGCCCTTTGGGACTCCCCCCAGGAAGCCCCCCATCCCCCGGGCCCCCTCGCCAGGCCACAGCCCTTGCAGGCCGAGCTCCTCAGGCCGGTGCTGCTCCCGGGGGGCTGTCTCCCCCGTGCCCGGCTGCAGGCGGAATTAAGCACATCGCCATGGCAGCGCCGTGGCAGCCGTGCCCACAGAATTCCGCGTCTCCGGTGACTTCATTAGCTCCGGCGCCTTGGGTCATTCGAGCCGGCGCTTTCTTGTCCCGGCCCCCCTGCAAGCGGCCTCATTAGCGGGGGACACTGAGCCACTTAGCAGCTCCATTAACGCGCCGCTGCTGCCACGTTTCATCGCTGCCTTTCTTCCCGCTCTGCCCTCTCACCCGCATCCGCTGACTCTCCCCTCATTAGCCGAGGGGCCTCCGTGTGGGAGCCCCCCACATCTCGCTACCCCTTCCCCGCCTGTCTCCCCATCAATTTCAGAACCTGAGAACTTGCACATCTTGAACCAAGACCTTCTCCGGCAAGGAACCCGAAGGGCCCCCTGGCCAGAGCGCCTCCCCTCCCCCGTCGGGACCCTGCCACCCCCACCCCGGCCCCGGCGGCACCAGTTCTGGGGTGGGAGCAGGCCTCACGCACCCGCCCCACAGGGCTGCCGCCTGGCATCCTCAGCTGCCCCTGCTGTCCCCGCCCGCTCATCCCCGGGGCTCAGAACTGTGCAGGGGTGCTGCCCACACCCCCTTTGTTGTCACGCCCTCTCCCTCCAGCTCAAAGAAGCTCCCCCTTGTCCCAGACCTGAAAGAAAGGCTGCAGAGTATGGGGGTGCGGCGGGGCTGTTTTACAGGCAGCTGCCCAAGACCCCGGCAGGACAGTGGGGATTCCCATGGGGAAGGAAAACAGACCCCAAAGTTGGAGGCTGCAGGGATGAAGGGGGACTGGCTACCTCTGGTCTCTGGGGGGTACCCCCACTTCACTGTCACCCCCACTTCTGAGCTTGTGCCTCTAGCTGGATTGAATTGAACCGACACTTACTGGGTTGAGTGTGAGTCCCCAGCCCAGGGTGAGCGGCTGCTCTGGCTCAGCAGGGCTCTGCTGGACTTGGGGTGGTGCTGTCTCGGGGCAGTCAAGGCAGACATGCGGGGTCACCACCCACCTGCCCAGGTGCCTCCCCGCACGTGACATCACCATGACATCACGGCGGGCTGCGGAAGAGGGCCTGGCATTGCCCCTGCCGCTGCGTGGACCCGGCGAGTCGCTCCCCCTCGGCCCTCACTTCAGCCCCCACCCCGCTGTGCCGCTGTCGCCATGGGGGACTGGCTCGGGGCGCCCCACCCAGCACGGTAGCTGCCATTCCAGTGGGGGTGGGCGTCTGCGCATGGAGGGGAAGGAGGGTGACGTTGAGACCGAAGCTCTGTGAAGGAGCCGGCGTTTGGGCTGAGCTCCGAGGCCTGGAAGCTTCCATTCAGTGAGAAGCGCTGTGTCCCGGCGCCAGATGAGCTGGGCGGGTGCCGTCTGAGAGGTCCCCCCTCCCTCCCACACTATCGAGCTCCTGGCAGGTCCGGGACCAGGGCCATGAGGAGCACAGCTCCTGCGGCCCCCCCTCTGAGCCCGAGGCGATGAACAACCCCTGGTTACGTGACAAAGCAGCCTCACCCGGGGCCACCCTGCCGGGCCCCTCTGCACACACGGGCTGGTGCGGGGCACAGAGGGCAGATGAGCCGGCCCCGCAGCCTCACTCGGCGCTTCCTGCGCCCTTGTTTCCCCATGTCGGGCCCCAGCGTCCCAGCAGCCTCCCTGCCTGCCCTGCAGAGCCGGCTGGGCCTCTGCCCCGTGGGGGGGGGGTTCCGGGAGCAGCAGGGCGGTCATGAGCAGGCTCCCCTCCCAAGCTGAGCCCCCGGCTCTGCGAGGCCAATTAAACCTCGTGCTAATCACCTGCACGGGGGAGCAGAACCCAGTCCACGGAAGCCCAAGTACCTCCATGCGGTCTTGTGGAGAGGGGAGCTCTCACCCCAGATCCAACCCACATACCCGCGCCTTCTGGGGCAGCTTTGTTTTACAAGAATAAAGCGCCTGCGTCTCACAAGGAATCACTCAATTGCTGCAGAGTAGGGCGGCCCGTCCCGCCACCCACCCGCGCATCCACCCGTTCACCACCTGCCTACCCATTACCTGTCCCCCGTCCACCCGTCCGCCCTTCCCTCCCGCCATCCGCCCAGTCAACCCTCTTTCCATCCCCTCATTCGTCCGTTCTTCTGTTCATCCCGACAGCAAACACAGATGAGGGGCCCATGTGGCAGGCACTGGGGCACAGCCCTGGCATGTGGCTCACGGGGAAGTAGGCAACGATCGATAAACTAGAGAGCGTTGGCGGAGACTTGCCGCAGGGACAGGAGTAAAGCCCGGGGCAGGAGAATCGGGTGTTGGGGGATTGAGTGGCGGGTAAATGAAGTTAAAAGTCGGGCTTTCTTACACCCTCCTGCTGCCGGCGTGACGCCTGGGCCGAGAGGCGTGGGCGCGGCGCACGCACCGGTGATCATGGACACCTGGGCGCAGGGAGCGCGGGGTGCGCGGGCGGGACTGCCCGCACCTGGGCCGGGGGCGAAAGGGCAGCGTCAGTCTGAGCCGAGGAGAGCCAGAGACACAGAGAAGGCTGGTCTGCCCCTGCCGTGGGAGTAAAAGCCCGTAAGAGCCTCCAGAATTATCTTTTTGTCTGCAAGAACCAGCAGTGACCCTACCGGCCCGGGGTGGCTGCAGAACAAAGAGGGCGACGAGAAAGGTGTCTGAGGAGCGAGGTTCTGGCGAAGCCCCGCGTCCTGCACCGCCAGGCCCGTTCCAGACTGCAAGAAATGGCGGGTGTGCGCCCTCCGGGACCCGAAGACACGCGCTCACGCCCGCTTGCTAGGACTGTCCAGACCCAGGACACCCCACAGGCTGAAGGTGAGCAGATCGGAGCCCTGACTCCGGGGTCCCGCCGGCTATGAGATGGAGTGAACCCCACTGGTGGGCGGGCAGCGACCTGGACGACTCTGGCTCTGTGAGGCCGCAGGGTGCATTTCCACGAAGTCTTAGAATGGGCAGAGGCAACCGGTGGGGGCAAAAGTCAGCCGCAGAAGAGGATTTGGGGCTGGGAAGGGGAGAGACGGTGGTTACGTGGCATAGAAAACACTGACGTGACTATGTGAGTCTGCACATCCTAGTGCACCCCAACTGTACCTCAGGCACACCCATGCGCGTGTATCTGCCTGCGCATGTGGGAAGACCCCTCCCGCCCACCACCCCCCCAACATCTCCGGGGCCTCCACCCCACACCAAGCAAAGCCAGGAGCACTTTTTTCTGCTCCCTCCAGGGGGCGCCCCTGTCCTGCAGCTGGTGCATCTAATCACCTGTCCCCCTGCCCGGACCCTGCAGGCCCCAGGGCGCCCCTGGTGGGCACAGGTGGGTGCTGTGTCTTCCTGGCTTGTGTGACCCGGAGCCGGCGTCAGACAAATGAGGCAGCGATGGCTGCCTGTGCGTTTATGGCTGTAGCTACAGTCAGGATAGATTTTTATAGCCATAAACTCCAATTCCACCTCCTACTTATATATATCCCTATTAAATCCATATAGATCCTTACAGGCAATTTCGAAGGCATCTGTGCCACTAACTCTGTAAACCATCCTGGGCGCCCGGGGAGGTGCTGTCAGAGGGTGTGGGCACCAGGAAACTCAGGTCCTCGGGGCCTGCGGGCTGACGGGTCAGCATCCCTGCCCATCCCTCCCCAAACTTGCCCACTTGCAAAGACCCTATGCCACTGCCCCCCGCCCCCCCACCCCCCGCATCCTGCCGTGGGCTCTGACATGGCATGGACCCGGGACTAGAGTTCGGGCTCCTTCCTGGGGCAGGGCTGGCTTCCGTTTCGGCTCACCTGTGTGACCTTGAGCAAGCCACTGTTCTCTCCCGGTGTCCGTGCTCTCCTCCGTGAAATGGGGCGATCTTCGTGCCTACCCCCTGGGGATGGCAGGGGGCTAGGAGAGGTCCTACTGAAAGCACTGAAGTGGGTGCTTGAATGGAACAGAGCAGCCAGGGAGCCCCTACACGCCTGGAGTTCTTGAGTGTGGAGTGGATCTCCCGGACCCAGGACAGGGCGTCCCGCACCTGCAGCCTGGCAGCGTCCTGAGCGAAGAGCATTTTCAGCTGAGGCCTGTCGCCCTCGGCGGGCCTGAGAATGAGGCTCCTGGTGGAATCCCAAATGCCTGGCGGAGGCTGGCGGGCAGGGCACCCATCAGCTTCAGGGCAGAGGTCACAAAGCTCCAGTTGTAAAATGCGTGGGGCCCGGGGCCAGAAGGCACCGTGGTGACTGGTTAACCACACGGCATTCGCCGGGCTCCGCTCCACGGGCTCCCAGTCAGGGCGGGCCACCTAGAGGCGGTGGCCCCGGGAAGCTGCACCCCAGGGGTGTGCGATCACACGCCTTGACGTTCGCACGACACTTTCCTTCGCCAGATCCCTGCCGCTAAGGGACGCCTGATCGTGTGCACTTGACAGTTGCGAAGACAGTAGATCTCAAATGTTCTCACCCCCAAAAAGAAATGACGTGGACGTGTGCGCCAGCGCTGTGGCAGCGGTCACTTTGCAGCATGTGAGTTCCAGAGAGATAAATGCATCCATGTCGCCCCCACTGCCCTGTGCATGCGTGCACACACACACACTCACACACACACACACTCACACACGCACCCCACCCCCACCCCCTCCCGGCCACTGAGCTACCTGCTCGAGCTGAGAACATTTCAGATGTGCTCTACTGGCAACATGGCGGTCATCATTTTGCAATATTTATACTTATGTGTCAAATCAGTCTCACTTACATTTTCTCTGTTCTTCAGCAGTTATCGCAATAAAACTGGAAAAACATTTTAGTACAAAAAATTAGGACGTCCTTTTCAAATAAAGGTGTTGTTTACACTGAAATATGAACCACCGGAGTGATTCTATCAGAGCAAAACAGCAGAGGCGGCGGAAGCCCCTCCCCGCACGGCCCAGGAGGCCGCAGGGGGCTGTGGAAAGGGCAGTGGCCAGAGGCAGAGCCCGGAGACGGGTTGGGACAGGGATGGGGCGACACCCCCGTCCCCCGGGAGCGGCAAACTTTCCCAGTGGGGCAGCCACCGGGATGTGGCGGTTCCTTCAGCAGGTTGTCAGCCCCCGACCTGCCCCCTGGCAGGCCCACCCGGCTCTGATCGGGCGGGGCAGAGACAGGACGGTGGCATCGGCTCCCAAAGCCTGGGCCTTGGTGGTTGCCCAGCTTGGCCCTTGCTCAAAGCCGTGTGACCTTGAGTAAGTCGCAACATCTCTGAAGAGTGTGTCTCAACCCTGGCTGCCTCCTCAGGCCCCGGCATAAGCAGGACACTTGGTACAGAATGAAGGACAGTCCCGGCTGGACAGAGTTCTGCAGTGACGGGGAGCGTGGGGAAACTGGGGCATGGGGGGTTGCTTAGGGCGACTTCAGTCGTAAGAGGAGCGTAGAGACACCACGCCAGTTCAGCCCAGAGGCCTCTGCGGGCATCCGCCTTCTCTGTCCTGGGTGTTCTTCAAAGCCCTCTGTACAAGCAGGTCGATTTACCTGCTTAATAATCATGCAAGTTTTACATGTTCAGAGGAAACTAGGAAATGCAGGAAGAAGAGAGAAATGTCACCCCAAGCTCCACCACCCCCAGCCAACTTGGGATGAGACACTGTGCACACCTGGGTGTCCTTCCATGCCCCAGGGATCAAACTTTCCATACATTGCACACTCCACCCCCAATAACTGCAACTGTTTTTTTACATCCATAAAGATGTGCCTCACATCATTTTACCGACTGTGTAGTATTCCATCGGAGAGACCCATCCTGATTTCATCAATAAATTCCCCATTGTAAGATCCTTGAATTGGCCTGGTTTTTTAACCCTGGAAGCAGGCGACCCTGGCCCTCCGTGATGCCCCCCAGGGGACAGGGCTTGCTCCTCACGAGGCAGCCTCAGTCATTTCCAGATGGCCCCAGAGTCAGGGCAGATCCGTCTGCCACGTTGGTGTCAATTCTGCATTTGGGGTGACGTCTCACCCAGAGGTCTTAGCCTCCTCATCACCACCCCAAAGCACACCACCTACTGGCCCCCTTCTCACCCGTGGGTGTGAGGTTTGCAGGTTTAGAGCCCTGACTTTAGAGCCAGACAGACCTGGGTTCAAGTCCCAACTCCTCTACTTCCTGGGTGACCTGGGGAAGCCCCGTGACCTCCGTGAACCTCCCTTTCCTCACCTGTTACATGCATTCAAGAGCAGGAAGGAGCTAACCCGCGCTGGCTGAGACACCTAGACAGCGGGGGCCGTAGGATGCCGGGGCAGACTGGGTTCTGGCCGCCCCGCCCCGGCTGTCAAAGGCCCATGACAAGCGCATCTCTCACCGAGGAGGCAGGACCCCAGCCCCGCTCAGGGAGGCGGCGGGCAACAGACGCTCAGAATGATCAATAATACATTATTTACCAGCGAGCATGCAAATGAGGGAGAGTTAATGAAGGCGCCCCTCTGCCCCCACCCCAGCCCCATCTTCCTTGACTGCGGAGATTGCTGACAAATTCTCTAGAAAATATCAAAACAGCCTCCGGCTGGAACCTGCCACCGTGCGGCACCGTTATCTATTATTGATGTCGCCCTGACAAGCTCCCTCTTTAAGGAAGGCGAGCACAGGAGGGGGCGGCTAAGCTGTGCTGAAAGGGATGGGTTTGCTGCCCCCCAAGGCGGGCGGCCCCCTGTCTAACCCCCTCCCCGAGTCCCAGGCAGGCAGGAGGAGAAGAGACGTGGAGACCTGGGGAGGTGTCTCATCGACTTGCCCTTCGCCGTGCCTCAGTTTCCCTTTTGTGCATCGTCCACAGCCGGCGGTTAATGAAGCCGGAGCCCTGCCTCAGGCAACCGCGGAGGGGCCGGCGTGTGCAGAGCGCGGGCTGCAGCGACCCCAGGACCCACCCCGAGACGGAGCCCACGCTGCGCGTGAAGGTAGGGCGGGCGCCGGCGTCACCATTTCTGATTTCAGAAATGACATCGTCTCACCCCGGCGACACGGGACACGGTCGAGCCAGGCCACTTCCTCGCCGCACGAGCGTCCCAGAGCGTGATGGCCCGCGCCGGGGCACCAGCCTCGTGCACCCTGGCCAGACAGAGAGCCGGTCATGGGGGGGAGTGACACCCCGAAACCACTGACGGAACAGCACACGCGGTGGTCGAGGGGGGAGTCTGGAAGGGAGGCTGAACCTGCCTCTGAGGCAGCCATTGCAAGGTTGAGAACCCCTAATCGGTGCATGTGACCCCCAGAGCCTCAGGCCGCTGCCCTGGCAGGGGTGTGTCCTCCCCTCTCCCCTGGCAGCTGGGACAGGTGGAGCCGCCGGGAAGTGAGGAGGCACCGCCACTCGGGGCCACTCGGGGCCTCTGAGTCGGGGGCAGGTCCCTCGTGGAACTTCTGGTTGGGCGAAGGGCTGAGGCGCTGAGCAAGTGTAGCCGGCCTCCCCGGAGCAGCTGCACCGCGCGCTGCAGAGAGGCGGGTCTGGGAGGAGCGCGCGCCCCGGCCTCGCCACAGGTCACCGCAGGGCGTGATGGGGAGCGGGTCTGTCAAGAAAACAGGCCCGGGGAATGGAGGGGCGCCCCTGGCAGCTGCAGAGGGGCGCGGCTGCTGTGTCCTGCATGACCCATGACACGGCACCCCGGGGGCCTGGTTGGAGTGGGAACTCCGCGTCCACGTCCTGCTCCTGCGCGGGCCCCGCACACGGGCCGGCCTCCAGCCGCACCCCGGGGTCAGACGTCCTGACATCCAGTGTCGCTGGGCTGCGTGTCTCCTGGAAGCGCCAGGGGAGAATCTGTTCCTTGCCTCTTCTAGAAACCATCTGCATCCCTTGGCTCCTGGCCCCTTCTTCCAGCTCCGCAGCCAATTTCTTTGTCTCTGACCTCTGCGTTGTCATTACATTTTCCTGGCTCCGTCGCGCCTGCCCCCGCTCTTGCAGGCCCTGAGTGATCCACTTGGGCCCCCCAGAATGCAGGATGACCTTTAACCTAAGCCCCTCTGCAGGCCCTGACACTCACAGGGTGCGGGGGTCGGGACGTGGCCATCTTTGGGGAGCATCGTCCTCCATCCCCCACGACTGTCTTTCCTGCAGAGGTTTTCACTGCTGAGCGGGGGCCGAGGGACCACCAGCGGGGTCCTTTAGACCCCTGGGCTTCTTGTGCGGGCAGGCAGACCCCGCTGAGAAGCTACAAGAAGCCCCCACAGGTCTCCGATCCCAAGGACCCTCAGGGGCAGCTCGGGAAAGGCTGGGACCGAGGAGCCAGCCCCCAAGGGGGGGAACAGGGCCAGCGTCAGGGTGCGGTTCTTCGTCAGTGTCCCCTGACCCCGGCCCCTGATGGGGAGCGGCTGGCACCGAACCCCCTCCCTGTCCCAGTCCCCACCCCGGGCTGGAGGCCAAGGGTGAGTGGGGTCCTGCAGAGCCTGAGAACTCGGGGCGGGGCACCTCCTGCCCCCGCCGGGCTACCCACCCCTCCCTCGAGTCGCACCGGTGAGCCCCGCTAAGGGCAGGCCCCGCGCCAGGCCCCGCGCAGGGCGGGAGAGGCAGATGGGCTCACGCCCTTGCCGAGCGGTCGTTTGGCAAGAGCGCGGGTGTTAAGCAATAATTATTTAATTGCAGATATGAAAAAGTGCTTCAGGGACACGGGAACTTTGAGAAATGAGAGGCCTCACATGGCGCATTTTCGGGAGAGCTGAAGGCACCTCCTGGGAGGGATGAAATGAGAGGAGCGGGGGAGGGAGAGGAACAGGAGGGGGTGGAAACGTGCCCCCCCACCCGCCCCTCCCCCGGCCCTGGGCTGCGGGGCGGCGCTGGCTTGGGTGCCAGGGAGGGGCCGGCTTGGGGCCTCAGCTCCGCTGCTCTGCGGTGCACGCGCTGTGGCGGGTGCCTGGGTGAGGAGGTCGGGACCCAGCGCTGGAGCACCCTGGCGGGAGCCAGGACCCCAATCCTGGAGCGCTCCGGGACCCTGGGGCATTCATGGGGCCAGGCCCAAGTCCAGCCCGGGGTGGTAGGTGGCCGCGGGCCGCTCCAGCCCCCTGGCCCCCTATCTGAAAAGGCCCAGGCGCCCCATCTGGCCCATGACAGAAGCACCGAGGCCCCTTGCCCTGCTGCTGCTCTGAAGCGACCTGGGGGGTCTCGGGCTCCCCCCGGGCGGGATCACCGGCTCCCCCGCCGCAGGTGGCCGCCCCACAGGAACAGCGGCAGAAAGAGCCCGGGAGCCGGCGCAGGCGGGCACAGGCCTGGCCACGGTGCTCAAATGAGGCTTGAGGCCGGGCTGGCACCGGCCCTGTGGCTGCGGCCCAAGGCTGCAGGCTCCCGCAGGGCCGTGCCATCCTGCCACGCCGTGGGAGCCGTGGACGCTCCGTCCTTGTCCGGCAGGAGAGCCGCGGCCGGCTGGAGGCCCCAGGGCGGCGCAAAGGGCTCCCGCCCCGGCCACTTAGCTTGTCCCTGGGCAGCCCTGAACACTCACGCGTGGGAGCAGCTCGGCTGGGGCGGGGCCTGCTGGGCCCACCTGGGCGGGGCCTGGCCCTGCAGAGGCACTGGTGAGGCTGCGGGGGGGGGGGGGGGGGGGGGGGGGCCCAGACCACAGGGGGCGCGGGCTGGGAACGCAGCAGGCACGGCTGCAGGGGAGGGCGGGGGGCAGCGCCCGCTGTGTGCTGAGACGGGCAGGCAGGGTGGATCCACAGAGGACAAGGGGGGCCTGGGCCCTGGAACGCAGGTCGCCCTTGCCCCGGGTCAGAGGTCACCCCGCTCTCAAGGTCAGGGCCCGACTTTCAGATGAGCCGGAAAAGCTCCCTGGACTTAAGGGCTTACGGGGAGGGTCGGTAAAGAGCTCATGGC